AGACAGATGCCACCCCCATCACAGACCGTTACAGACAGATGCCACCCGAGTCTAGGACAACTGACCATGGGATAACTTATCACGGACAACTGATCATGATCATCTGATCATGGAAAAACTGATCATGATGACAACTGATCATAGACAACTGATCATAAGGGACAACTGATCTTGAACAGTTGATCATAAAAAATCGTTCGATAATTGATCATTGTCATTTATTTTCAAACAAAAAAGAATAGAGAGAGGGTGTAGGTGTGGGTGGGTGTGGGGTGTGGGTGTGGGTGTGGGTGGGTGTAGGTGTGGGTGGGTGTAGGTGTGGGTGTGGGTGGGTGTGGGTGGGTGTGAGTGTGGGCGTGTGGTGGGTGCGAGTGTGGGGTGTGGGTGTGGGTGAGTGTGGGTGGGTGTGGGGTGTGGGTGCGGATGTGGGTTTTAAAAATAAGAAATAAATTCACACCCACACCTACACCTACACATACACCTACACCTACACCCACACCCACACCCACCCACACCCACACCCACCCACACCCACACCCACACCTACTCCCACACCCACCCACACCCACACCCGCCTACACCCACACCACCCACACTCACACCACCCACACCCCACACACCCACACCCCACACACCCACACACCCACCCTAAACGATAACAATAATCTCATGACTTTCATGATCAATTTTCCTTTATGATCAGTTATTCATGATCAGTCGTCCGCCGTGATCAGTTGTCTGTCATGATCAATTATCCATGATCAATTGTCCGTGATCAGTTGTTCCATGATCAATTTCCTGTGATCAGTTGTCCGCTCACCATGCCACCCCCATCACAGACGGTTACAGACAGGTAATTTGCCCGTCACAGACAGCTGATTTTCCCATTACAGACCGTTACAGACAGGTGATACCAGCGTCACAGATCGTTACAGACAGGTGATTTCCCCGTCACAGACCGTTACAGACAGGTGATACCAGCGTCATAGATCGTTACAGACAGATGCCACCCCCATCACAGACCGTTACAGACAGGTGATTTCCCCGCCACAGACCGTTACAGACAGGTGATTCCCCCGTCACAGATCGTTACAGACAGGCAATTCGCCCGTCACAGACCGTTACAGACAGATGTCACCCCCATCACAGACCGTTACAGACAGGTGATTTCCCCGCCACAGACCGTTACAGACAGGTGATTCCCCCGTCACAGATCGTTACAGACAGGTAATTCGCCCGTCACAGACCGTTACAGACAGCTGCTTTTCCCATCACAGACCGTTACAGACAGGTGATACTAGCGTCACAGATCGTTACAGACGGGTAATTTCCCCGTCACAGAGCGTTACAGACAGGCTGTAAACTCATCACGGACCGTGACAGACAGGCTTTGGGCCCATCACAGACCGTGACAGAGAAACTGTAGTTTTAAAGCATCAGATAAAATGTTAAAGAGTTAACTTGAGAAGACAGTGAGATCTTTTTTTCATATAATCAAATGTAAGGGTGGGTGTGGGCGTGGGTGTGGGTGTGGGTGTGGGTGTGTGGGTGTGGATGTGGGTGAGTAAGTGAGAGTGTTCATGAAGAGATAATCAACGGCCACAGTCACACCCAAAGCCACACCCTCTCATTATATCCACACCCCCACCCCCACACCCACATCCACACTCACACCCACACTAACACCCACACCCACACCCTTACATTTGATTATATGAAAAAAAAGATCTCACTGTCTTCTCAAGTTAACTCTTTAACATTCTATGACTTATTTCAATTGCAGTTAAAATAACTTGAGTTTTATATTTATATTTATTTATTTGTTACTCATTCTTGATTAAGATGTATTTGTTATGAGTTACATGTTATCGATGTATTGGATTTGAATTTACTTTCGTTATGGTTTATTATGATTATGATGTATTTAATTATTTATTATGATATATTTAATTATCATGATTTATTTAATTTCTATATTTATCTTACAATGCTTTTAGGTTTTATTATGGTTTGAATTTAACATCAACAAGTAATGATGATGATCTACCTGCCAGCTTGTGTTCAACTGAAAATAGATCGAAAATTCTACATATTACATATATATACACATATACATATATTAGTACATATTCTCTTTGTTTTCTTATTGAAATAAAATATTTCATATACTTCGTCATTTACTGCATTAACTAATTTACATTTGATCAGATAAAAGGTTAGCTACAAATGTATTGCAAAGAAATGGAACAAAACGATTTCCATTTAATTAGTAACACTAGATCCATCGTGTTTCACATTTTTAATCCCGCAAGGGATTGCGCTAACAGGTTTTAAAATCATATGTATTTGTTCAATACCCAAGCAGTCAAAAATGAGACATTAACACGTTATAACAGACAGTTTCCGTTTTTCTTTCAACGCTTGCTACACATGGAGAAATGTCCGAATTTTTTGCGTTTTAACAGTTGATATAATTTCGACTTTAACGTCGTTAAAATGAGTGGTAAGACAAACGTTTAAAAATATTACTACAATAACTGCATTAAAACGCAAACATTCGGACACTTTTGATAATGTTCAACGAGTTCTATGGAAACATTTTAACGCTACTGAAATGCAACCATT